GAATACTTATATGCGTAATAAGTGAAAATATCGTGACGTGACTGAAACGTGAAAGGTGTGCAAAACACAAAAGGAAAGTCTACGAAAGGAATGTACAATATCCAATTAAACTACGAAACAACGAAAACAATGTCTCCGATTCAAGATGCGATAACGAAAAATGATAAAAGATCATTTAAATAATTATGGTAAAATAACCCGAGAATTTTAACTTCTTTTCACAACATCTTCGAATTCGAATTTCGCGGCTCCGGAAGACCCAACTTCCGGTTCATCGATCACTTACCTCCTTCAATTGACTATCCAGGATCTTCACCTGTCCCACGAAAGTCTCCTCTCTTTGCGTCGCCTGTTTTTAGTCAAGCGTAAAAAAAGAGAAAAAACGAGCTCACGTTAGGATCACAAAAATTAAAAAAGAAAAAGAAAGAAGAAGAAAAAAAATTAAGAAGAGAAAGGGACAGAAGAGAAGTCAGTTAGAGATAAAGGCAAGGTGTGATTGTAGGGGGTGAGAGTGGCCAGGTGGTTAACGATTGATAAATCGCTCGCGACGACAAATCACACACTCGGCAGAAAAATACAAAGATGCAAGAACACTCTCAAAAGGATCTGTACCTCCTTTAGGCGAGTGGTAAGGGTCTTAATTTGGTTCTTGTACTCCTCCTCGCGCTGGTTGGCCTATGTACAGTAACGTGACCGTTATTTATATCGAAAAGTAAAGATCATCGATCCACTCGACTGTAGATCTACGGTTTTGTTACGTCTACTTCTCTATCAAGATGAACAAAACCTTTGCCATTCCGATCAGCAAGAAAAATTTTGACAAGACTGGACACGTAACGCGATAAACCTGTTTCCCCACCAAATTCTTTGTTCCGCGCGCACGAAAATCACGAGAATCGGACTGTAATTTCTCTCGGAGAGTGATTTCACTCAAAGACAGAGGTTTCGCTGGCACTGCGATCAGCGGGAATGAAATGTTAACCGATCTAACGTCACGAATAGCATTGCTCGAGGATGCATGTCCTGAAACGGATCGTGAACAATTCTGAAACTCCGAAAGCCTGCGCGTTGTACAATCTCTGAATTAAGGCTCGGTGCACACTCGGAAATTATTGCTTCGAAATATTGCATCGTAATTCTTTGTAACTGTTCTTCGTATAAAATACTTTGGTTATTGTCGATGTGACAGTAAATGGAACGAAAATATAGATAGTCATAATTTTGCAGAGAGCAACCTGAAATACAAGTGTTTTATTCGTTACATTATACTTCTAATCAAGAAATGCATAGAAGTTCGATCTTTCAATTATGCAACAGCCTGTATATTCAAATATTTGGTATCGTATAAATTTTAGACATCTAAGGTTCGAAATGTAAAGAATTTAAGTCACGGCAATGGGAAAATTTTATAAATTTGATCGAATTCGATGAAATGTTAAACTGAGATGAATGTTTATCACGGCCGTTAAACAAAACCGAGAAAAACACGTCCGATGTACGTCGTGTATTTGTCCCGATTCGGTCGAAAGTGAATTCGAAAGGAAGAGAAAGTGAATAGAATATTTTTGTACTGTAAATCGTCCGTGGCGCTTACCTTCTCCTCGGAGACCTCGAGGGATTTCAGGTTGTTGCCAACCACGCGCAGTTCCTCCTCCAGCTCGACGATCTTCCTGTAAAATGAGTCAACGGTTAGAATCCTGATCTCGATCCACCGGTTCGGCTCCTACCTGAGCGCGTTTTCTTCGTTCGGGACGAACACTCGGCCTCTTTTTTTTTCTTTTCATACAATCTTTCCAATCCGACTCGAGCAGCGAATATAATTGACAACAGTTAATATTTTTTGCAATTAAATAAGGATTATTTCAATTCAACTATCGAGATTAAAGAATTTCACGAACTACTGCTCCTCGGATTAACGCTCGCTTTTTTTGTCTCGGATTAGCGATGCTATAGACATTCGCTTTGTTCTTTCCCGTGGTAAAATTATTCTATACAATAATCCGTGGATCATAGTAGATTGTGATATTAAAGGAAATAATACTGAAACTCATATTATATTGTTTTCTATATCGAACGTTTAATGTTTATAATAAATATCAAATTAAATATAACATTTCCAGAAAAAATGTATCGATTCATTTTATGTGGAAGAGGAATCTACTTTTTGTCTTTATTGTGTACTTTATACCATTTTATGCAAATGATTTTCTAAATTTGACAGTTCTTGCAATGAAAATGTATTTGAATTCTTTTGTATTAACTTTTTTAAGTGTCTCTTTAGGAATTTGTTTGGGGGCCAGTGTTCGTCCCAATTGGATAAGCGTAGAAACGGAAAAGGGACGAAAATGGCAACGACTCATGCACAAACTGAACCACCTACCCTTCCGACAGTTCCGCCTTCTCCTCGGCGCGCTCGAGATCCTGTTCCATCATGACTAGTTTTCTGGCGACCTGTGATCAACAGCCACACGTTTCATGCGAAAAGAAGCAAGGAATATAGGAACTTAAAAAAAAAGAAGAAAAATCAGAACAAAAGAAATAGAAAATTGCGAGAGAAAAACAAAATTGTATGTGACACATGCAAAAACGTCCTGGTCTCCGTCCGTGGTTCCATTATCCTGTGTCTAAGAGGCTGCCGCTGAAAATTTGATCAAATCCGCATTCTGAAAACCTGTTCAAGCTATCCAAGAGAATCATGATCAATACTAAAAGGGCTACAAATAAATCTGAATTTAAATAATCGTATTTACATGTTTAAACAGCTACTTCATCTAAATTCTATTCTCTTGGACGTGGAGCCAAAGGGAAATTTACTTCGCCCGACAGAATCTTAACATCATCGATCAAATAAATTGCTGGGCACACGGAAATATATCTTTTAAACAGATCTTTTACAACTCTGCCATCTCATCACCTCTCTCCTTACCATTTTCAGGCCCATAGTACCCATCTTCAGGCTTCAAACTACAAGACGCGTGGTAGGAAACAATTTCCCATTACTCAAAACCCGATTCCCATAAATTTCCCAATCCCCAATTTCCCTTTGGCCGATCAAACTAAAGGACTAACGCTTCAAAGTTCGAACTGCTTGCTCGAGCAAATCGAATTTCTCGAGTTAGCGGAAACAGGGAGCATTAATGTCGCAACAGAAAGTAAAAGAACGCACGTTAGAGACACTTCCACACGTGAGGTTCGTTAACGTCGCCATTGGGGTGTGGCGGGGGTGCAAAGCGTCCCGTAGGGACGCGTGACACGCGATCGAGTGCGCTTCGATCAACGTGGAAAAACAACGCAAAAACAGGGGAAAACTCGCTCGGCACACGGAGGTGGTGGAACAGCAAATGCTCAGGGGATCGAACTCTGTTTGAAAAACGGATGCTTACGACTCTCCGGCCTCGGCACGTTCCTCGGCGCGCTCTAGATCGGCCTCAACCATGGCCAATTTACGGGCGACCTGTGTAAACGACACATACAGAAACGGTTTTCTCCTTATGCATCCGCGCGGCTTGCGCGTTTCGTCTCTCCCGTGATCCCCCCCGGCCTCTTTCACGCCGTCCCGCCGGTATCTGGGCCAAGATCGACGATCCCGGCCCGAGAGATCGTCGGATCTCGTCGATGGCCGCCGGTTCGGATCGACGACTCCAACGCGGGACTCGCTCCGCGACTGGAAGAATCTGTGGAGACATTTCCGCTCCTTATACGCCTAATCGCCTAGACCACTCGAGTTTTTCCTGGTCGGGACACCTCTGCATCGCGGTCGTGCTCGGATACTTGTCGGAGTCTGACGGGTAACTAATCATAGACTTCGAATCGTTTCGAATGTGTACTTGTGGCGAAACATTCGAATCACTTCGAATGAGATTTGATGTTTCAACGAGTACAGTGTGAATTTTACGAATTGGGTGGAATAGATAAAATAATGTTTATACAAAAATGTTGTTCTTCCATTGCTGTTTAAGTTTGAACGGAATAAATATGATAGTGAAATGTTGGTGAACTTTTCAGCAAAATAGATTTTTCTATTTTTGAGGTTCTAACTTGCTGTTACGTTATCTCTTCATTCTACAAGCTCGCGTTTAGAACGCTTCTTTCTGAGCAGCGACGAATGCGAAATTGCGATTCCTCCGACACTGAATCCGCCGCATACCAACGCAAGCGTCTCCAGCGACGAACGAGCCAGCCTCGGTTAAGGGGTTAATAGTATTCCGCGTTCCCGCGCGTCCCATTCGCGATGAGATCGCAAATATTGAACCAGTGAAACACTAACCGCGAAACGTGCTTTGTTCGACCACCACGGAACAAGAGAAGCGTGAGCCGTAAACGCGAATCTCATGTCCACCTACGCGATAAAGGCTCGTATTGTCCGTGAAACTCGAATCCCTACGGTTAGAGGGGTCGATTCGATTAAAGGGAATCGAGAATAAACCCTGAAAGACTCCGCGAAGATCCATTTTCCCGCGCGTGAACTCGAAACAACGGATCGTGCCGTAAATTCGTTGCACTTTCTGTTTTATATCGAAACGATTTCTTTACGATACCGTTCTGCCCGTGTTAAGCAATAAAGTATGTACATTTTTCGATAGTCGGGGTTATCAGTTGACAGCGGTAAATTCATGTAACCTTAGATTCTCATGTACGAACGCGGACGGGCTGAATTTAAATAAGATTCCATTCACCCCTCAAACGGTGCCGACGAATTGGCGATAAAACAGAAACGCGTTAGATACCGTCGAAGAGAAGGAGCTATCGAATCATCTAAATAGCGGCGGCCATAGAAACGGCACCGGTTTCAAAAAATTTATGTTTCTAGTTCAACTCTCGCATGAATAGCAAGCACCCGCGTTATTAGCTACTAAAGGCTTGATTTACAACCGGAGAAACTGTAATTTACACAACGAATCTGCAAATAGCCCACGTAAACTTCGGAATCCACGAATAGCACGTCACTTTGGACAAATTTAAATTATGCGAACGCGTGTAGCGTAACAATTTCATTGAGTTTTGTACAAGCCCTAGAAAATCAACGATACTGCGATAACATAATTATTAACCCTAATCATTAACTCCCGATTTCCACTGTTTCAAACTTTCAAACACCGTGTCTAAACCGTGACGGTGAAAACTTCTCAAACTGATAAAACCCTCGAAACCGATAGAACTTTCAGAAACAAGATAGTCCTACGCGAAGTTCAACACGAACAAAACAGCAATCGAAGAAAGAAGAAAAACGTTAAGGACCTGCGATGCAGTTCGAAATAGAAGCAACAGAATCGGGCGTGTGTGGTGCAATATTGCGAGCACGAACCGCAGATAATCTTTATCGGTTACGGTGTTCCAGTCGCGGAGCGGGTCCCGCGAAGAGGACCGACCAGCGGATAAGAGCGGACGCGGCTCCTCGGAGCCATCGATCTGCACGAACGGATGGAAATCGGCGGCGGAGCACGACCGCGAGGTCGCCGCAGAAAAATCGAGCCGAGGAATCCGCGGTCGTCCTTCGAAATCAATAGGCTAAGAACGCGAGCCGGATTGGCTCGATCGCGGCGGCACTTCTCGATCGTCCGCGGCGACCTCCCTCTCTCTCCTCGCATGCAACGGATGCGCCTGGCGGGAGCGTGACGCAACATCCCTCGGAAAAATGGCTTCCCTCGTCAATTTCACTCGATAATGAATTTTCCGGACGGATTCGCAAGACCGCTGCAGCTTTAATGGGCGGATGGCGCGACGGTAACCGGACAGAGTAAATGGCAGTTCAATCGGTCCGCGGAAATGAATTTATCGAACGGAACTACCCTTTTGGGAATGGAAGTATTACCGATAATGCGGTTTCTCGATCGAGCATGCTCGGTTTTGTTTGAGGAGGAAAGACCAGGTCGTCGAACCGCGCGGAGATGAACGTTGATCGGAGATTGTAAATTGAGGGATATTGGGGATGCTCCGGAAATCGGTGAGGTACTAGCAGTTGATTGGAGCGTTCGATTTTCGGATTTTTGAAGTGGTCTAGCGGGTTCTTCGGTTAACGTGTAGGTAAGAGTGTTATTTTTGTGTCTACTGGATATTCGAAATATTGTTCATCGTATGAGATATCTTCGAAGGTCTGGATATAAAATAACTGAGATTGGAGAAGTTTGTAAGATAAAGTTTTCTGGGTACGAAGCATTTCTAAAGAGACATTGTTCTGATTTTAATTGAAGAAGGAATGAAGTGAAATTGAGAATATCTTGGAAGTAAGGAGAATGTATAGAAATGTAGATATTGTTTAGGTAAATCGTAGTTGTCCATACTCCAGCATTCCCAAAAGGGTAAAACCATTGATCCATCGTTCCCCGAGCAGCCAGAGAAGGACGCTCGGAGTGAACGTTTTCACCGGTCAGCTATCTCGATGATGTAACCGGAATAAATTTGCCGTTTAACGAGTGATTTGCGTAACGCTCGCGCATCACAGGCGCACGATAAGCGATTATTGAGAGAAAAGAACTGAAAGGAAAGGAATGGTTACACTCGGTTGCTGTTAAGTTTCGGCTCCGTTGGTTTCTGCAATAATTTGTTAAATCGGTTAGGACAAGCGGATGGAGTTCGTCAGTATCCACTGCAATCAAAACGTTAATTAGCGACACACTGTGATTAGCGGTAACGTTTCTGTTTGTTATTATTAAAGACGTAAAGAGAAGGAAGAAAAGTAGAAGAGAATATAACGCTCGAACGATTATCAAGAGCGAATTCGTTTGAGAAGATGGGGTTCTATAGATCGCGCGTTGAAGTTCCAACGATTTTCGAGTCTCGTGAAACCCGAGAACTAGATAATCGTCCGTGTATCGATCACAGTGAAACCAGCCAGTCACAGCAAGTGGCACGAAACACCGAATAATTCTGTTTTCACATAGCCGAGCTTTCTTTTCTGCCCGTCTAATGCTACCAACTGTGTTAATATCACGTGTACCGGAGCTGTAATACGGCTGTGCTTATCGTTCCGTTCCCCACGAAAGTCTCGTTTCATATTGTAATTTTATTCCGTCGTGTGTGGAAATCGAATTTCTAACGTAAAAACCTGGAATTTAATCGAGTCGCCGTGAATAATCGTTTCAACCCACCATCGCGCGAAAGATGGCGGCTAGTAATCTAAAAGTATAATGCGCGAGGGAGGAACCAGAGAAAAAATTCATGCACAATTGTATTGAAAAAATATGCAAATATCTAATCGGAGATTACAACATTCGAGAGGCAATCTGTGATCATCATCTGGAAAGATGAAGCGATTATTATAATTTGAATTTCAATTACTTTCACCGCGAATTCATTCGAATAATTAGCAGAAAAGGATAGCCGAATGTCTCGTCGAAAGGATTCGATTAAATTCCAAACATTCAAGAAATATTATTCTACGAATTGTCACAACGTGAAACGACGAATCACTGCAATCAATTATTTTCGAACTTTGTCGACTCGTGATCATAGGAACTTCGACGTACTTACAGGTCACCACCTACCATAACGGATAGATTTGGGCATGTCAAAGCTACGTTCCGAATTCCAGCTAAGCGAAAACGGGGGAAGGTCTTTGGACAAAAGCAGCACCATTATTGCAAACAGGACCAAAACTCGATCCTGCTACGCGTATCACAACACAGAGTTAACCATAACTCGGGGCCAGTTTCATTCCATTTGACAAGACAAACCGAACACGCGGACCAACAACATCCACGAAAACTGATCAACGATCGAGGGATGATTATCTTTTCAACAACGGTGGAAAACTTCTAACGAACGAACTATAATTTAACATTTTATCTTTTCTCTCTCTTTCTCTCTCTCTCTCTCTTCTTTTTTACGAAACTGGCACTTGAGAAACTTATATGTATTATATATATATATATTTTTTTTTCATCTTTTTTTCAACTCGTTCTTTGTTCCTCGAACAAACACTCGAAAATCACAGATATATAGTAGAGTCCTACGTTAAACCGCGCTCGAGAACACGTGACACTGATACATCTACACGCGTGTACCACCACTTTGCCCCCATGTTTCTAAATTGCTTTCCTCCTTTTCCAAATATACATAATATAAAGATTACTTCTCGTCAAAACTTTTCTTTATCCCCCGGGAGTCGCGTGATCACTGCACTTGGTTTCGCGAAGCGAACAACCGTCTCACTTTTCTTTCTTTGTGTTGACGAAAATCACAGACGATCGGTATTGCGAGTATTCACGATTTTCCCTCGTTTCGAACCGAACACTTTCCTTTTCTTTTCATTTTCATTCGCGGTGGTGTCGTTGCATTATACGCTCGAGAGAAAAATATCGATT